CAATTAAAAGTTGAAATAGAAGATGGGCGCGAAGCGCCCTAAAAGCCTAGTATATATGTATATATTTTGCGTGTCTGTCTATTTGTTTGTTTGTATCCATTAAACATCAAAACGGCTGAACTGATCGGGCCCACTTTTTGGAAAAATATTCAAACATGTTCTGTCAAAAAGAAGAAAACTATTTCAAACAATCTTCCTCAATTTTTTCATTTATATAAACTTTTTAAGACAAATTTTAGATAAAAAAATGCCTGAACAATGAATAATTCATGTTGATAGATGTAGTTTGAAATCAAGGTTTATAGGCTTGAAGTCTGAACCTTTATGTATAGCACTTAGCACAGGAAATTGCCCTTATATTTAGATATAACTACAGAAATGGAGATTCAAGGATTTATTAAATTCACAAAAATCTTCACACATTGAAAAATAATTTACATTTAATTCAAAGATCTGGGCGTGATAAGTATAATATATCCATCAATGTTAAAGACTTGATCATCGAATTAGATATCCATCGATGTTAAAGACTTAATCAACTGCATAGGGTTACAAAGATATAGGGATTAGAAATAAGAGTTTGAGGCAATGACTCAATTTCTTTGTTGTCTATAAATGAAAACCACTGAAGAAATTGAGTTTCAATTTGGAGGATTTTTAAATTTAGGGGACAAAAGTTAAAACTAAGCCTCGAAAGAAAGAAGCTTATTCTGTTACAAAGCACGAAATGTGCACTTCCCGACTTTCTATTGCATTATTGGTTGAATGAGTACTGCAGCTAGCTGCTATCCAACTAGATCATTTTATAGGTCACGCTTCCAATATAAAAGAAGATAAAGGGGAGAGAGATATATGTTAGGGGAAGGTGGTAAAACCCTATCTCTCACTTACCTCTTTTTCCTCCCCTTTAAACCTCCCCCCTCCCTCCCTGCCTCCCTCTGGTGTAAGTATAACCTGAGATGTTTAATCTCCTCCTCTGCTCGTTGAAGTGCAGAAAATGCTTCTTCAATAATCTCATTCCGTCTTTCTTCGTCCGTCCCCTTCTCCTTTCCATTCTTCTCCTTCTCTTTCTCCTTCGTTTTATCTCCGTTCCTCTCTACGCTCCGTCTTTCCTCCTTCTCTCCGTAGTTTTTCATATTTTTCTCCTCATTTAGCGTTTCATTAATTCTCTCCAAATTTGTTTGCTCGTGTCCGCCGTTTAAAGATGTGTTTGGCTTGAGGCGGAGAGCGGTATGTCTGAGCTCAAGTTGGGCAGAGGATAGACCTCGGCTGGCGGAGGTTAGGGTTGAAACTGTTTTTTCTAGGTCCTCCTCCCAACCTGGAGGCGTATATGAAGAGGAATGCTCTGGCCCTGAACAATTTATAAATAATACTATACAGGATTTTTTTTAAAATATGCTCACTTCTCAGATTTTTGTGTGATCTCTAAAAAGCCATAACAACTTAAATGTTAAAAAACGTAGCATAAAGAATAACTGTTTAAAACTTTAATTTTCTCTCTAGCCATTCAAAATGAAAAAAACCTAAAATTAAACTTTTGTTGTCAAAACAATCGAAGATGTTTGATATTATGATATTGTAAATTCAAATTTTAATTTCTGACTTTTGGCACAAAACCACCTTAAGCCACTTGAACTCCTTGAACCATTTAAACCTCTTGAACCCATACTCTACACTCTACACTCTACACTCTACACTCTACACTCTACACTCTACACTCTACACTCTACACTCTACACTCTACACTCTACACTCTAAACAATTTGAAATGCTGGAGTTTTGTTCCCTCTAACTTGACAAGCTCGGTGTCCTTCAGGAAAATAAAGTTTTCTGGTAAAATTTACATTTTTGATGTAATTTATGTAAAAAAATTGCAGAAATTCCAAAATCTATGATGTCAAACACAATGTCAGCTCCCCCCTACCCCACCCATCCATACATTCCTGCCTCCCCCACATATAATTCTTAATTGCAAAACTTTCCTCATTTTTATAGTTTTCCAAAATGATAACTTTCCTGTATTCCAGTATTCTTATTCTGTTCCTGCATTCCTATTCTGTTCCTGCATTCCTATTCTGTTCCTGTATTCCTATTCTGTTCCTGTATTCCTATTCTGTTCCTGCATTCCTATTCTGTTCCTGCATTCCTATTCTGTTCCTGCATTCCTATTCTGCTCCTGCATTCCTATTCTGTTCTTGTATTCCTATTCTGTTCCTGTTCTGTCCCTGCATTCCTCTTCTGCATTTCTTTTCTGTTCCTGTATTTCTATTTCGTTTCTGTATTCCTTATTCCTTCCTGTATTCCTATTCAGTTTCCTCTAATTCTAATTTGCTAGATTGTATTCATATTCCGTTTCGATATTAGAATTCCGTTCCTATATTTCTATCACTTTACGTTGTTCCCAATCTTATTCCGTCCATCTATTTCTATTTATTCTTGTATTTCTTTTTATTCCTATATCCCTATTAGTTTAACCATTTCTCTCCGTATTCCGCATAATTCCCTGATCTTCAGAACACGCCTATTTCTCTAAATTTAAATCGTATTATTTTCCATAACTTACCCCTATCTTCCTATCTCCCTCCCTCCCTCCCCTCCAACAATATGCAGTGAATTGAAGGTAAAAATTCCGAATACGGAGTGCTGCATGTATATAGTGAAATGAAAATAGGGGCTCAGGGCTTATACATATCGGATTTACTCCCTTCTATATATACTAGAAATTCAAGGCGCTTCGCGCCCTTCTTTCTAGCCTTAGAGGGCGCTTCGCGCCCATCTTCTAAATTAGTTGGAAACATGTTCTCTTTGTGTACATCGTAAAACAAAACAAAAATAATTCGCGGATTTTCACAAAAAATTTCGCGGATTTTCAAAATTTTTAAAAATTTAATGACGATCGAATTTTGATGGAGACAAATATTTGAAATTTTGATGNGTGTGGGTAATCCTCAGTCAACAAGATTGCTGCATAGGAAACGACTTCTTTGTAATATGAATGATAATTGAGGCAAACTTGATAAATGTTTTAATTTAGAACAGTGCTTATAAGGAAATCATTAGAGTTCTTTAATCAAAAAGCTTGAGATAAAATACTTTGTTTAATTTACATCTAGGTGCCTTCATACAGTGTGTGACAACCCAAAAATAAAACATTTCATAAAGTGCTTTACATAATTTGATTTTTAAAAACCTGAAAAAGAATTCAACTGGTAAACCAACTTGAAAATCACAATTTAACTCTGGTTCACCCTGAAGACCCAAACTTTTTCTTTCAGCCCCTGTGAGCCACCCTGTGAGTTTTATCAGAATCTGATTTTGCCATTCCTGGAGTTAGTCCTGTCGTAGGAATAAATGAACTCATTAACTCGATAAAAAGCCTGAAATTTGCTTCTCTCCGCGCACGCGCGCACGGTTACCCAATTTCCATACAATAGATTTAGCTAAACTACAAAAGAATTTAAATTATATAACGAATACATAACAAACATAGTATTAAAAAAAATAATAAAATTACGAAAAGCCAAAACTTTGTCTTCATAAGGGAATGCAATTTGAAACATAAACTGAAGTATCATTAATTTTATTAAAGAGCCGTATTTCTTGTGAATGTGTGGTTAATAAGTTGTAGGTGGTCATTAACGTTTTATTCTTTGTGAGTAGCCTTGTATATATCCAATTCTTTAATTTGGTTTGATAAACAAAATTAGGAGGTATGTCCAAACTATATCTAGGAGAAGGCATTACCCCACCCACGCTCTCTTTTCTATAGCTGTGCCCAATGATTATGTATTCAAATGAGCAGGAAAAGATGGATGAATAGATAGATAGATAGATAGATAGATAGATAGATAGATAGATAAATAGATAGATAGATAGATGGAAATCAGAGTATAATTTAACGCGGCATTATTAGCCTTCGGCGCTTAGTGCTCCGTAAATAGATTCCTGATCAGAGCACAAGATTAAACCTACAGAAATGTTTCTAAATCTCAGATAAGAGTCAGGGGCGTCATATTCACTTATACTAAGAGGTCGATCCGCCATAAGATCACAGGTAAAATAAGATCATCTTAAAAACCAGATTTTTTCGTCCTGAAAAGAAAGGTGCCATGCAATTAAACCTGAGAACAGTCTTTCTTCTCTGTCCTACACCCTATAACCCCACATCAATGCCACCATTTTGTAGTTAAGTGTGAGAAGTGAATATTTATTTTCTTTAATTTTTCTTGTTTTCTTTATTCTTTTCCTTTCAACAACAAACTTAAAAGCTTTCGGTCCTTGTTTAATTTTTTTTTATTTAAAACAAATCTAGTAGAATTCAATTTTATAAAACTGTAAAACTCAATTATTCATTAATTTTGAAATTTTTCGGATGCGGAAGGTTGTTTATTTTCTTTTTTAATTTAACGAATTTAACTATATACACTAACAGAAATATTTATCAAGTATCGTTTTTTTTTTAAATATTTGTATAAGAATTAGAATATGCATGTCTACATTATTATAAGGGCCGTTACTTCATGTTTGATAAACAACTTTTAAAATAAAAACTTCTTTTTAATTAGTAAATGACATTAACTGTTAACGAAAGGGAGTGGCTGAAAGGCTCTGCAAAAATTGACAATGTTGAAGAAAAAGCCGTTCACTCGATGTGCAAATATGTTTTCGCATCATTATTTCTCGCAAAATCCACAAGAACCTGTTCGCAGTTACTGCGCCCCTGGTTCAAGTATTTAAATCCTCCATTATTCTGCCACTCAAACCAAACCAAACCAATCACACCTACAACATCTCGGAAATCCGCGAAATGATCGATTGAAATAATCTATATTCAGAAAATAGAATTTTGGTATAAATAAGTTAGCGTGCAGGCAGGTGGTTGGGTTGAAACCTTGCTTCCGTTATCTTTACAATGTGTAAACATGGGCGCATTCGTGTAGAAACTAAACCAAACATAGATATCAGAAACACAACACCTTTATCTACATTGATAGATAGATAGAACATTTAAAAAAGAGAAAATCCGGAAACTTTGAAAATTCCATTGTAGATAGTGTAATTCTTTTTATTAAAAAGTTCAGATTTCATGGGTTTAATTTGAAATATGTAAACTTCTATGTACCTCATTTAAAGCGTTTAAATATGCCTACGTCACAGTTAGTAAGGCATATGAAGCGTTCATACACCACACATGTTGTTTACATCCGCGCCCAAACACGCGCACCCCGCCCCGTACAATTCTGAATCTGCGCTTGTTTATTCTTAACGCAGAAATTATGCATGGCATAATTAGTCTCTACGGGTGATCTCATTTACTTATTGGAACTACCCAGGATAGAGAATATCAGGTATATTTAAATACTAGCTCGGGAACCCAGCTTTGCCTGGTAAATCAAACATTCACAATAACCCACTTAACTAAAAAATATTTAAACCTGTGCTAAGAACATTCCCGTGGTTTTACCGAGTTCCTAATTTGAAATTTGAGGTAAATCGGTCAAAGGATTTCTGAGTTAAAACTTAATAAGCGCCTTTTTGCTTAATTACTGTGAGAAACTGCTTTATGTATACTGTAACATTTCCTCAATCTGCCTAAAAGTTGGCCCGTTACTTTAAATAAAGTTGTTAGTCCCGAGACACCGAGTTTTTGAAGGTCCAATATTACAAATGAGCAATATAATCGAACTTTGAACATTTCATCCGTGTTTTTGTTATTTTTCATAAATAAAAAATTACTTACTCACTACTTAATCTGTATCATTTGGCAGATTTGCACCTCTTCGCACGTTTTAAGTTAATATTATATTTTAAAATAATGATTTCAGAGGAAGTCTTATCTTCTATATATATATAATAAAACAAGACATATATATATGTTACATATAGTTGGCCAGACAGCTTGACCGAATGGGTTGACATTTTTTGTGGACACTCATGGGTTAGCGGGGGGGGGGGGGGNACATTTTTTTACACATTTTTTTCCACGGGCAACGCCGGGCCCTTCAGATAGTATAATAATAGTTTAAAGTAACCAGGGACATAATTTCAAGCGACTTTTCATGAGGAACAAAAGTGTAAAATTAGCAAGATTATCTTTAATGTGTTTTCGGGATACGGAGGCTTGAAGAATTAATTTCATCTAAAAATCACTTTTTAGTTCGTTATTTAAAGCTTTTAATAAATGTGAATACTTTAATTTAAACCATAAACTAATTGTGATTTATTCTCCGTTTAATTAAAGATAAATTGGGAAAAATGAATATAAATATATATGCCTATATTCTGAAGTTACAAGTTTCATAGAGTATTAAACACATAGAGGAGCACATGAAAATTTCTTTATTTATTAACTTTCATTATTGTACTACTCTTAGTCCAAGAATACACTCAACATTACTTTATCCTTTCTTACTTAGCGTAATCTCTGAAGAATTATATACTCTATGCTTGAGCTACATGCTAGTACATACTAAGAAGACCTCTATCCGCCAAGTCTGCTCTTAAAGTGCGTACTCTATATTATTCTATTCTCTACGACTGCTCTACAAGTGTATACTTTATGAAATTCAATCCTCTGAGGCCTGACGTCCAAGTGTATAATCTATAGTATTCTTTCCTCTAAGGCGGATCTCCTTGTGTATACTCTTTAGTATTTTATTCTTTAATG